CTTCTGAGTCCCAAAAGACTGTCGCCATGATTTTTCCAGCCACTGCATAGAGTCCTGTTTGGACTCGGGTTCATAATGGTGAACTCAAGTTTCGTCACCAGTAACAATTCGAACCAACACTCCATCTTTGTCTTCCATACAGAGGTCCAAAAATACACGAGAACACTCCACGCACTGTTGCTTTTGAAGCAGCGTCAGCATTCTAGGCACCCATCTTTCGCTGACTTTAGTGATGCCAAGATGGTCACGAAGAATTTTGAAAATGGTTGCATCTGATACTCCAACCATTTCTGCGAGTTTGTTTTTTTCTTTAGGCGGGCATCTTCTAATATTAATTTTTCGACTTTTTGAATAATTTCTGAAGTGGTCACCTCGATTGGCCTTCCTGGCCGTGGGTCGTCTTCAAGAGACTCTCTCTGCCTTGTTTAAAAAGGGTATGCCACTTGTAAACCACAGTATTACTTGGACAAGAGTCTCCGTAAACGGATGACATCTCTTCCAGTATAGTCTGAACTGATTTTCCGCGCTTGGTAAGGAACTTTATAACGGAACGGAACTCGATTTTCTCCATATTTCACATTTTCTTCCCGATTGACTTGTTTGGTTGACGATAACTCAAAGACTAATGATCTAATTACAATAAAACCTAGTATTTATACTAATAATGAGTTGCTCAATTAGCACGTAATTCAGTGACGTCCCCACTTATTACCTACCGAACCATTCCGCGAACTTAAAAACGCACCCTCGTAGCTGCAGCATGGCTGTACCACGTAAGCAATGGATTTTTGATTGCAAAGAATGGGCAATTTCAGGAATGGTTAATTATTACCGTGTTTTCGTTCCTCACATGTCTAATATACTCCATTACATAAATTATTAAAAGACGACGTTCTATGGGAATGTCTTCAGTACGACCCGTCTAACTGTAGACGCACGGCCGCAAGAAGCTTAGCACTATTCCGATCTGAACTGAAAACGAATCATAAACACTTATTGATTATATTTGACCGCCCCGTGCCGCAGTGGCTTAGCAATAAATTGTAGCGCTGGGGGCCGCGGGTACGAATACCGCACGGAAAAAGTATTTGTATGGCCTACAAATAATTTCTCCTGGATGTTTATCCTTGTGCAATATGTCTGTAAACTGCCTCCCCGGTACAGTAGCAGATCCTAGTGTAGGGGTAGCGTTTAAAAAAATACGATTACGTTATGCACTTTTTGTCCTCTTATAGTTACGTCATTCAATACGTTGTGTAAATAATGTTGCTGATTATCTTTCTCGTTACAGGAAATTAACGCGTTGTGAAACAGATGCGGCACTCGCTCCGTCAGAGGAACCGGATTGCTACAGTGGTATAAACTCGTATTTGCAGCGCACTATTTATCCATCAATGACGATTCACTATCTATTAATTTACTACGTAAGAGAGAGAGAGAGTGGGCAATGAAATATTAAGCAAAGTCAGATATCATATAATTTAACATTTTAAATGTGGGTTTAAATTAGAATTATAAGGTGATTGCAGATAGTGAAGTACATAAAGTACTATAAACTTTATGTACTTCACTATCTGCAATCACCTTTTCGGTTAAGAGAAACTACATTCGTCGCTTATGGGAATTGTAAAAACTAAAATGGCAGCTTGTTTACGTTTTTGGTGGCCGGGTTCAAAAGGAAATAGAATTGTGCGAAGTGTTGCACACTGCGCGTATCACCTCTTTCAGTACCATTTGCTTCTTGGCCGCTCCCCGCAACGAAAGGAGAGCGAGTACATCCCGATGTACTTTATGTGCAAGGCGATTATGTTTTAGTAATTATTTACGTATATTCGAAATGGTTAGAATGATTATATTAAAAAAATAATATACCTAGGTAAAAAAAAATATCGAGATAAAGTTAAGTGGTTAGGGTGCGTTTTGGGTTGATGCAGACTTTAGTAAGGGAAACGCTACAAATTTTACATTGGCAATATTCAAAAAAATGTGAATGGAAAGATAACTATGCCAAATTCACTGACCTCTATACATACAAGTACGCAAATTACAATGTGTTTCAAATAATTATATGAACGTCGATGACCTCGAATGACCGCGATCTCTCAACTGTCACTTGAAAAGTACGGCTAGCAAAGAAAATTAAATTGTGTATTAATAATGTTTTTTTCCCCGCTTTATTTAACCGAGTCTTAGTATTACCAAATCTATTGAACTCGGAATTATTTTTATAAATTAATTTAAAATATTGATATTAATCCGTGGAGTATTTCAAATACCTACATACCTAAATCCATGTTCTATTTTTATGAGGCAAAGCAGCAGCGATGATAATGATGACAATGATAACTACTCATACAGTGATGCAGAGTTTAGCGAAATTGAAATGAGATTCAGATTAGGTAATAATTTTCTGTTCGTGGTTCTTTTGTAAATAAATATTATTTCAATTGTATCTGTTGTGCTCACCCTACCTAACTGGTTTGAATTCACAGCTATTACGTCACAATAATCGGGATATTGAATCGCATAGTTCAGCTTTGTAGCACCTAGTCCCTGAGTAAAATCGTACCTAATCTCTGAGTAATAACGACTTATAACAAATGGTTGTTTTATTTTAACGCTCTACCTGTTCAAAGTATACCGACAGAATAGAATAGAATAGAATAGAATGATTTTTATTCAATATGGATTATTACATAATACTTATTGAAAGTCATTATTTCATTTACCACTGGTTCGGAAAATACCTCTGTCCTGGGAAGAACCAGCAAGAAACCCAGCGGGACTTTTATATATTAACATGCAGTTGAAAGTGAAATACAGCTGGGCTACCACTACTAAACTAAAAACTATCGCATTTTCAATAAATGATACTATTAACACCAGTTTAAGTAATGAAAGACATAATTTGCAAATCAGTTTATATATATTATTTTTATTTTTTATTATACGTTCATACAGATTATATTTATTTATAGATAAATAACTAACGAAAACATTAAAATTCACTTCTTGTTTACAAATACACTCTTTACAAATAGATGGCGTTAATTAAAAAAAGTAAAATCTTTAGCACAGTTCTCAACTACCATACAAGTACAACGGTTAACACATTTTAAATTTTATATATTATAAATTGAAATGGTACATATGAAAACAGATATCGGATTTAACTGAAACTGATACTTAAACACAATACAATCAAACTAACTTCAAAGGAAATCAAACCAGCCAAAGGATCAAACATCAAAGGAAGCCAACCACGATTCCCGCCAGAATTTACATAACCGCTGGTTTGAAAAATTATATTTAAGGTGAGGATTTCCTTTGTTAAAAGACTTTAGGTCTCACTTCTGCATATTGCATAATTGTCCAGCACGAAGTAAGCGTGCGACATTCGGTGGACAAAAATTAATTCTTATCTAAATAAAAATTTAGCCGATTAAGGATAATTCAATAACATGCCTTTCATATTATAAAAAAAATATTACAAAAAAAAAAGCGAGAACTCGAACGTTGAATTTTTTTTCCCGGCGATTAAATCATATATAAAAATGTATGTTTATTTGTTCGTATTTTATGCGCCGCCATATCGTTCATCAGATTGCGCTAAAACTTTGTCAACTTCTTGCTTGCAATTGCGCTAAGGTTATAGAAGGGCATAGTAGAATTAACTTACAGTAGATGGCGCGCATGTCGTACCCACATATTTATTTGAATGTTATCATTTAACTTCAATGAATGTATTACCATTGCTAATTAAACCATAGCTAGTTACTAGCTATTGTCTAATTAGGAATTACTTAGTTACTTCTAATTACTTATACTGTCTTTAATCTCAATTAATATAAAAGTCGATGGATGCAGGTGGCTCAGGACCGTGCTTTGTGGCATTCCTTGGGGGAGGCCTATGTTCAGCAGTGGACTTATGAAAGGCTGTAATGATGATGATGATGATGATAATGAATATAAAGTATTTTAAAAATCCATTCGATTAACAATGCAATGTATGCGCATATTTCTATCGGAGCCACTACTTACTATTTCAAGAAGTATCAATTTCTCGAGCGTCAAAATCGTATCTAAAATACGATATATTGGTTCAACCAGGAATCGGTATGTGCCAATTACTAACTGTAGCTTAAACTTGATTCCTTATTAGCCAATCTAAATGATTTCTGTTATTATAAAATTTCACACAACAAACTTTTACGAAAAGCAAGCAAGCAGCGTCCATCTAGCCTACATTTATCGAAGTGCCACGCTCGTTTTGGCATCCTTTATTTTTATATAAATATTATGTAACAATTTTCTTAGAAAAAAATCTAAACGACTGTGACTTAGAAGTAATAAGTGTCAAGTACATGACATAAACGAAATAAAAAATGTCATTACATTTTAGCTTTAACACTGATTTTGTTAATTTCTGAGGGGCGTAATTTTTTAAATCAATGAGGTCTAATAATGTCGCTAGTTGACACATGTGAAGTTTTTTGTTACACAGTGTAATTTAATTAAGAAGTTACTTTTAAATAAAAGTTTATCAGTTTCTAGAGTATTATATTAATACACAAAACAATGCCCGTGGATTGCTCTTTAATTTTTGCACATTTTTAACAAATTTCTTAGTTTTTCTACTTTTATGAATATCTTGTGGTTTGGTTTATTTATTTTCAATCTAATTCATATAAAATATAACTAATGGTACAGAAGGAAACATTAACCGAACATTTTTCGCACAAATTATCTTCCCCGCTGTGAAATCTGTCAAATATTACACATCATTTTTAAGTGGCGCCGCCCTATTGGCAGAAAAAGTCGTGGATGTCCTCATTCCCAAAAGCAGTGCGTGCCGCCCCTGTGAACTTATGTCGCATTAAAAACAATATAGTTGAACTAATAGCCACTCCGTTTTTGAAACCGATTAAAATTTCTCCTCAAGTCCAGTAAGGAATGCTACTAATAAAAAAAATTATAAATAGTATAATAATAAAAAACAATTAGTCTTCGCCAGCAGGCACAGCATCTTCTAATCGCTTGATGTATTTAACACGTAGCTCAGTGACTGCATCACCCTTCAACTGGTCCTGAAATTTAAAAATAAAGATTATTAAATATAATTTCTATTATGTCGATATTTATGAAATTGCAGTTTTGTTTAACTGGCCACTTTTAACTGTAGTATAGCTATTTTAAATTTGGTGTGACTTGGTTTTCTAATCTCAATTTAAATAAATTTTATATTTAAGTATAAGGCATGTTATTCCTTGTTAATATCAGTGATTCACTTAATTCTTTAGGATTTGTTTTTTTTTCAGCAATATTAATGTGACTTGTGTATGGAAAGAAAAAAACATTTATTACAACAGGCCACAAACATCATTAGGCACTTAAATTTTAATATTTGTAGAAAGATCAATTAAAAATTGTATAACAAATTAAAAAAAAAACAATTTGACAGACAACACATTTAAAAAGTATGTCTTTTTAATTACAACTAAAAAATAAGGAAAAACTGTGGTTGCCTTTCGAGCATGGCAACTATGGCAAATATCCCCCCCTAATGAAGCAATCTATAGGGAAGGCCTGTGTTCAGCAGCGGACTTTCATAGGCTATAATGGTAGCGGTAAATGAAACTCATGGCCTCCTGGAGAAGAACGTTGATAATGGCGAATTGTAGGCGATAGTAGAAGCGAATCCTTCTCCAACTACGGCTGACCTAGCGTCGACTTTTGATGGTGGACAAGATAGCACTCAAACAACCCATTTGGTGAACTGTTCTTCACCATTGCTTCTTAATGACAACACCCAGCTCACATACTGTACAACAGTCATTGGCAAAATGAGCTAAAACACCTTAACCTTGCCCATAAAATGGCAAGAATATGTTAATAGTTTTGGCAAATATTTTGATTATTTGTTTTGTTTTTGTAATTTATGTTTTCTCATACAAAACCGTAATAGAATAGAATAATTTTTATTCAATAAGGTTAGATATATTACATTATACTTGAGTCTTCTTTTTTATTTACCACTGCTTCGGAAATTACCTCTGTCCTGGGAAGAACCAAGAAAGAAACCAAGCAGAATATTTTTTGACATATAATTTTTCGATAATTTTGTATAATTATTTATATGAATTATAATAGAACCAGCATGGTAGCAATCACGTCATTCCCAGCAGTTTCTTTCATTCTTGTAATTATTAATATTATTTGCACTAATTTTACTTTAATAAAAGTCGCCCTAGGTAGCTAAAGGCGAAACTGTTATTTTTTTTAAATATAATTTGACTATTTATGAAATGAAATACAGGTAGGGTGCTTTTAAACGTCTAGCGACTCTTGATTCGGCTGCATTATAAAAACTGACCTTAGGTCATCACAAAGGTAAAATTCGTCATTGTAATTCATTAAAAAATTACTTTCAGGTATATAAAAATAATATATTTTCCCATAAATTTGAATGTAGGTGGATAAGGGGCTTTAAAGTATTAAGTTGCTACAAAATAGATGGTTATACTGCCATCTATCTGAAGACCAGTGTTATCAGACCTGGATTGCCTTTTATATTTTTCTTAGGTACTATTTGGTATAAAGTCATTCGGCTAGATGGCGTTGTAATATTATTTGTGATCTCCTTTTAGTCACTAGATGGCGGATTATTGTATCATGTCTTAAATTGCAATTATTACATAAATAACAATTATAAAAAGTTGACTTTTTAGTAGCTTTCTTTTTGGTATAAATTTATGCTCAAATGTCAATGATATAAAATGCACCTTAAACATTGGATACTGTTTAATAGCTGTAGGTACTTAAAATGTGCCAGCATAAGTGAATCCATCACAACCATCAAAACATTATTATTTTGATCCAGAACATTGTGCTAATGGAATTAAAATTGCATTTCACAAAGGTCATCCCTGACTATTTTGGAAGGTTTAAGTCAAGTGGTCAGGGTCTGTAAAACAAGATTTTGCTAATATTTTGTCATTATTGAGTACAATTGCTATTTCACTGTTACCATCACCATTACAGCATATTAAGGGGCTACTCCATGCGAACGACCTTGAGCATTTGGTGTGCCGCGCCGACTCGCTACAATATAATATCACGTAAGAAATATGTAAGGCGCCACCTACTGTAAGAGCGTAGTATTTTTTCAACATCAATAAACTATTTTATGGAAATACACACAGCGTACAACGATAAATGTATCTCAAATTTTTTATTCGGTATATTAGTTGCATTATATTAGAGTTATGTATTCTCATATAATATTATCTAATTATGAAATTTTATAATTAATTATATATTAAAAATGAAGCATTGAAAATTGTGAGTTTAAAAGATACCTACTCACTATAGGTAAATAGATAGATAGCTCGCCTTTTGTACAAATATTTGGTGCAATAAAGAATAAATAAATAAATAGGATGTTTCGCAGAGTGAGAGTAATATAGAATGAGAGTCGTGGAGGCAGTTGACAAACATAAATTGCACAAGGACAAACATCCAGACCCGGAACAATTATTTGTAGGCCATACAAATACTTGTTCCGTGCGGGATTCGAACCCGCGGCCCCCAGTGCAGCAACTGATTGCTAAGCCAGTGCGCCACGGAGCCGTCGCCGGTTTATAGCTAAAGTGACCATACGTCCCGTTTTGAACGGGACTGTCCCTTTTCTCAGTCACCTGTCTCATTGTCCCCAAACAAAGCTCCGGGACACAAAATTGTCCCGTAATTCGTTGGATGGAAGTATTCAAAGTCAACAATCTTCAACATATTTTTTTTAATCGAATATATTTTATGTCTCCCTGGTACAAATGCTCCAGTAGAAAGAATATTTTTTTTATTTTGAACAAATTGTGGACGTCTGAAAGAAACACTTACGGTTCCAGTTCTAAAGGCGATGTTGTTAACAAAGGTAACAATAAAAAAACTTAAGCAGAATTTTATTCTTATTTAAAATTATCACCAACTTTATTAAAGCAAATTTAATCCACTGACAAATGTAATTAATAATAAAAAAAAATATGTTGCATTTAATAATTACCGTCTATACCGAATATAATTTTATATTGAACACTAATTGTGTAAAGTTATAGTTTTTAGAGTGTAAATAAACCCATGTCCTGTTTTGAGTTAAAAAATAAATGGTCACTTTAGTTTTTTTTAGTTAAATTTAGTTTAAAAAAATTTTAGTTTATAGTAAAAAGTAGGTATATTAATACCTACCTACCTACCTACCTATAATAATTTTGGTCTTTTGAAAAAAAATTTACTATAGAAATGTTCATTAATAAATTGCCTATCCATTGGTGTAAATCGCAAAATAAAATAATACTTACTTTACGAGGAGATGCATGTTATCAATAATAATTTCACATTTATGTGGTTTCGTTGTAAGGAGATTATATTAATATTTATTCCTTTAAAAAAAAATTGGATATAGCTTTTATGGAATCAAGATTATGTAGAAATATATTGTGTTTTTCATTTGTTGATATATCTTTTAAATAAAAAGTAGATAGCTCCTAAAAACAGCACAAATAACGACTAGCGCGACATTTTGCTCAACCTGCGCCTTAAAGTCCACTGCTGAACATAGGTCTCCCCCACAGATTGCCTCATAAGCGGGGAGGGGGTTAGGGGGGGGGGGGGGGCATACCTTTGTAACGATGACAAAAGTTTTTTTTTATTTTAGTTGTTATTAGGAAGACACTGCTGCCCATTTTCTGATTTAATTCCCTTTGTCACCTTATACCACTACCACTACATGGTCATGGTTTAACATAATATAACTATTGATTTATAATTAAAATGTTGAGGCGAATATTAAAACAGTAGACTAGCAGTCTTATTATACAATTTACATAGTAGAACCAAGCTGTAGCTATATTATGGCTATAGTATGAATGGGTTAGCTTCTCCAGGAAGGACCCCACTTTCACATAATACCAGTGTAAAATAACAGCTTAATGCTGATGTTTTGTATGGTGAGTGTAAAGTAATGAGGCATTACATCCCATGCCTCAGGGTGAGAATGCATTTGCAGTTTGATTCTTAATTATGGATTAATGTAAGTGTCTATGGGTCACAGTATACACTTACTGTCAGGTAGACTTGTTTGACAATTTTATATAAAAATAAAACAATATTGGACAAGATATTGGACATTTTTACCTGTACAAACCAACATTGTACCTCCAATTGTACCATTTGTAAAGCTCCACGAATAGCACCTGGTATTAGGGCACAATACTTAAGGCCGTTATTGGGTATCTCCACCCATTCACTTAGTGGACATTGGTCCCACACTAAAGAAAACTCATCACCCGAACTGCTCCAACTTGTTACTGTTGGTTGCATATTGAGATACAATCTGTAATTTTTAATTATGGTCTAATTAACACTAGTAGCACTCTAATCTGATTGGACAAATAGAGTATGTTTAAGAGTTTGAGTTAAAGTTTAGAGATGAATATGCAATTTTGTGAGGTGTTGTGTGATGTTACTGTTTTACATATACCACTGTGTGTAATCACAGATTAATATGCAGCCATTTTATATACAATTTTATAACAACCTAACAAATCTTAATTTGCATCTGGTTGCTTGATCTGTTTTTATGTGTACACATATAAATTTTCTTACCATTGACAATAAATGGTATTATAGAACAATTGTTACCATTATCAAGATAATGAGTAATATAAATCTTTATAAATATAATTCTTCTGTTTGTGTGTATGTGACTGAACTCCTCCTAAACTCCTGAACTGATTTTGATGAAATGTTGTGTGTGTGTGTGTGACGAAGATGATTCGGTAATAGTTTAGATTCACAATTGGACCTGGTAGTTGATGCTGTTGTCGATATCTAGAAATCACTGGTGCAAAGCTAGGTTGGATAGCTAGTTAATGTATAAAACAATAAGAAAATTAATTGTCTCAAATCACAAAATGCATGCACTACCCAAGTTCAATTATTGCTGGCATTACTTTAATGGTTGATCACAATTTTTACTGCTAAATCAGCACAAGCTTGGTGGTGAAATTAAACATCCTGATGAGCCTGCAAGTTTGTGGAATTGAGAATTTTGCAAGTACTTGTGAAGGCTGCCAGCATGTATTACAATAATGAGGTAAACTTACTTCCACACTCTCACAGAATTCCAGCGTAAAATATCAGCTTAACGCTGCTGTGTTTTGTATGGTGAGTGTAGAGAACCAGAGACCCTTTCTACTGGAAACGAGGCATTCCATCTTAGTTCTTACTGGTGACAACGCATCTGCATTTTGATTCGTAATCGAAGATAGATGTAGATGTCTATGGGCCACAGCAATCGCTTACCATCAGGTGGACTGTGTGCTCGTTTGTCACACTTATCCTATAAAAAAAATCCATAAGCATCTCATAAGAGCTCTGCCCAAACCAGCAGTGAATGTTTACACTAAAATTTGAGCTATAAATATAATCTGTTTGGTACAGGAACAAAGTACTCTTTTAGATACATATTGGATTTTTTGAATGTAATTAACTTATATTAAATTTCTTTGTAAATTTCACAGTATGCAAGCTACTTGATTTTTGATCCAATACCAGCACTTTTAACTGAAAAATATACACCATAAGACTTTGTAGGATATGTTCAATTATTACAGATGTAAACTTTTAGAAAGCTTTTAGAACTATTCTCATTCTCACAGATTCTACGGAGTCTTAATGAAAATAGATGATGTAAAAGCTTAAAAGCAGACCTGCTCTGTAACTTCATAGGGCGTACCCCTTAAAATCGATTGTAGATAATGTATATTTTCTTTGTAATTTGGGAGTTTATTTGTAGTCTCGTTTATAGTATCTAAACTTTTGGACATTTCTAATGTTTGCTACCATAAAAGCTCTCGAAATAATATTTTAATATACCTGAAAGCTTGCTGAATCTTATCAGCTGTTTCCCTCATCTCTAAACACCGATTCGAAGAAGTTCGAGCAAGAAAATCTTCGATCAGTCGTACGCCCATATTATAACCGATCCGTTCCAAGTGTTTATTTACATCGTCAGTGCTTTCTGTTTCTTTTAACATTTGCGATACTAAAGCTCCATAAGTAAGCGTTAATAATTCTGAATTCTGAAAATATAAACCAACACCAAGTAGTAACTAATTAAATCAAAACATTTTCTTTTTTGAAACGATTTTTTACAAAATACTTGCATCGAGTATACTTACAACTTTCTTAGCATCAAGACGAGATGTTATTCTGGACATGTTTAATAATATTCTTTATTTGCTCGAGATTTATTTAATTAATCTTTGCAACTTTGAATCAATTTCAAAATATATTTCAGCAGTAATCTGTGTCCTCCGCTAGGAGTAAAGTATTCTGTGCTGCTATCTGTAATATATTTTGTCAGTTATAAAGGTACTCTGTGGTCAGTTTGTCAGAGTCACAGACACATGTAACTTCAGGCTCAGAAGGGCTAGAACCCAGAACCGTAAAGCCAGTTTAAAAAAGTCACAGACACAGTGTGACCATCTTTAAAATACAGATCCTAGCTTACTTTGGTTAAAAATCTGCCAAATCCTGCCAAAGTCTGTTGTGAAAAATGCCTCAGTATTGCAAAGTTTATTTACCATTCTTTAATTGTATTTAAGTAAGAAAAGTAAAAATACACATTTAAATGCTATATTTTTATTAAATTAAAATTAAACATATTTCGTTGGTTTGAATGCAATGCAATCGCCATGCTCACCAATGCCTTGTTTAGCGTGCAAGATAGACGCTACATGTTTGTTTATATCTAAATCTGTTTCCTATTTTTGTCTTAATTAGATTTATTTGACCTAATATTCTTTCGCATGTTGAATCCAAACATATTTTTAAAACGAAGTTCCTTATCAGATGGTACGAATTTGGCGGATGGGGACTAGGCGAGAAAAAGTGTAAGATGATTTCAGTCACGACCCCTTCTGACGTAGCGTAGATGGCCTTGCAACAAAGGGAGATGAAATAATATGCATCTCCCTCGCACTTTTTATTATTTTGCCATGAAAGAAATATTATTTTATTTTAAATGACGCTTCATTTTTAGACGCTAATTATTCATTTATTTGTATTAATTAATCAATAATATAATACGTTTATCAATAATAATACACTACGAAAGGAACTTCGTTCCAATCCAGTTTTCCACGACACTCACGGATGTTTTTTTTATGTTTACTAGTAGCGGCATGCTCCTTTAAAGCAGACAGCCGGGATGCCAATTTGGATCTTATTATCTTTAGCTTTGAAGATCCACGATGAAAGTAAAGGACCTTACTCCACTCCGCTATATACGGTCTTTCATATTTTCGCTTCATCATCACCACCAATAATTACTATCGTTCACGAAATATCATAAATAAAATATCGCTAACAAGATGTTGTCACCACGAAATCTAATGCGATAACAAATTAACAAACTAAAATATGTCTCTTCTATGACTGATTGAAATATTAACCATCACTCGTGCGTTACGATTACTCGTTTTAAGATTATCAACTTTACAACAATACTTTTAAAGTTGTTTATTGAATGTGTTACAAACATAACACTAGAAGTACAGGGAAATCCCCCACATGCTGGCGAAGTACATAGGGTTGCCATTTTCGGCATTTTAAGTTGCTATAATGAAATCTATTTTTAATACCCGAATACTGCCAAATACTGCCGAGTTTTATAAAACGTCAACCGATCATGCCAGAGGGTAAAATAAGAGGCCAATCCTGCCAAAATAGCAGGATCCTGTCACATACGGTCACACTGCCAGACAGCTATAAGACTTTTTTTAATAACTGGCTTTACGGCTCTGGGTTCTAGCTCTTCTGAACCTGAAGTTGTATAATTATTCTTTATAGTATAGAATTTCACTGCTTCACAATATGTTGATGCGTGACATTGTGCAGCCCTTGAGAGATTTTGAATGCAACTTGAGCCAGCTGACAAGGCGCCTAAGCAGAGCACTTGTTTCACCGTTTCCACTAATATTTCCTATGCGCAGACATTTAATACACAAAACCGCACCACTTTTACATATCAAAATCTACTTTAAACCATTATTTAAACAATAATACAGGAGCAGCAATACGTCGCTGGTCAAGTTCCCGCCAAAACCCTTATAAGACTTACACTTATAGATACACTGAGACACACCATAGATCAAAGACCAAAAGAATATAATCACTACGTTTAAGCGAGACAGACCAAATGCTTTTATAATGTACTCTGTGGGCGCGACTTACGTATAGGGCTGCCAACTTTATTTTATAGGAGATCGTACCATAAACTGGAATAAATCGTATTTTGCTTAGAACTCGAAAAAATTAGTACGCATTAACATTTCAATAAAACAATGGTAAAAAATACAAAATAATAATATTATAACGTTAAAGCAAAATTTTACATTTTATTAAAGAAAAGGGGCTCGGACTGTAGCCACTCTGTCCTCTATTACAAAAATAGGGCTACTTTTACTGTTTCATTAAACTAAAACTCAAATTCAACATAGAAAAACACTTATTTGTATTACTATTAAGACCTGTCTGATCATTTTACATTACAAAATAATTAAGAAAGTTAACCTTATTAATCTTACAAATCTATACAAACATAGCTCTTAGAGTATATGATCTACTAGGTACTTATAGAATATACGATTGACTATAGTAATAGCGCAATATTAAAATTAAAATTAACCGAGTAATACTCATAATGAACCGGCACAACTTTGAAACAATACCAATTGACATATTTTGAGAAACATTTTCTTCGGTTTTCATATAACCCTTTAACGCACACCCTAACCTTTTTTGAATTTCTAATATTTTGTGATACATATATATTCCGTGCCGTAAATCATAATGAATTTTTCAGAAAAAAAAACCTGAAAATCATTGTTTTTCGAGAAAATCCCAAAAATCATGTGACCAGTAAACTGGCCACTGAACGTTCTGCGTCACTAACCATCACTGCAAAATCACTGGCCAGTAAAGTGGTCACTAACGAAATCTATATTATTTTTGTGAAGGGATGTAAAAAAACGACTTCAGTTATGAATTTCCTAGTCAGCATTTAATAATAAAACTTATTATACTTCACAGAATATACAACAACTACAATTACAAATATAATTAACATAACATTTTTCTTCTAAGAGATAATATTTTAATTTTTCTTATCACAGTCATACATAGTTATAGATATTATCAATTGAATAATCACCTTCGGTTTTTAATTTGCCCTTCAGTACAGAATGGTACAAAGCATTCCACACATATAGCTACATCACATTGAACGCATTCATAGACACTTCTGTTTGGATTAGACGCGGTACTGCAGTATCTACATCTACGCAAATTTTTCTTAGATTTTATAAGCTTATGATCGCTCTCTTCATTTTCTCGAAAAGGAAGGCAAGGTATCGTATCTCCCGTGAATTTAGATCAAATTCGGTTTGTACGAACTATTAGTATAGATAGAATATTAGTATTAGTATTATTGAAGTTACTATTCCTCTACATCAGTGGATCTTGAAGTTTTTCATTACTCCACTTATTTAGATCTCCATTTACTAAATTCTCTTGAGGACCTGCGTCTTCGCGAGAAATTAACTCGTAATACCTTTCCGGGTTCGGTGATAGCGGCAGTGGTGGTGGAAATAGCGGCGGTTGTGGAGGTGGCGATGATGGTAAAGATGATGGTGGCGGAAACAAAAACTTCTGTGGTGGTTGTGATGAAGACGATGTTCCATGATTAGTAAATCGATCCAACAATGTTGGATATTGGCATTCGGCATCATTCACCCCTACTCCAAATGAACGAAAAATAAACAGTTTGAACTCTGGGAGAACGTCCACTCGGGTTCGGCGATTTTGTGTCAAGTCCTGTAGTAGATAAACGTCCGAACAACCATCGCCGCAAAATTTTGTTGAAGTGGAATGATCAAAATGTTTTTGGACAATTTTAAAAATTATCAATGACTTTGGAACTACAAACTTGATGAATACAAAGACAAAACAATACGGGCAAACGTTGTGAAATCTCTAATTTTAGTGATTTAAACTTAGAGGTTACTGAAGAAGATATCAAACATAAAATAAAGACCTCAAGGACACGCTATACAACGCTAAAGCAATCTACAAAAAGTGGTTGCTCTTTTGACGATGTCTATGTACCGACTCTATACCGGTTAAACATGCAGATTTTTTAGTAGTGTATGTGTAATTAAATGTTCACAAATTAAAGTAATTCCAAGACGCTGTTAATGTTCTTTTCTATGTCATTCCAGTTAAGTTGTTTGAACATAGAATGAAAGAAAAATGAAGCATGCACTCGAGAGAACATTCTTTCGAGAGAACCGTCTGATTCTGCCTTTAGTAAAAGGAATTGCGCGGTTTTCCATTTACCGGCAAACTGACGGCACGGCGATGACGACGGTAACTGCACGGCTGCCGGGGAAGCAAAAATGTATAAAATGTATGAAATATATGCAATGTTTTTCCACTCACCGGCGTCGGCGACGGCACGGGGAATACTCATACCGGTGCCGTCGCACGTGTCGTGACAGCAAGCTTTCCACTCGTTGCCGGCCGGTAAAACTGCATGTGTATTGTGTACGTATCGCAGCCGTATGCGTGTGCGCGGGCCGAATTAGAAGGGATGCGTTGAGATTGAGACTCGAAATTGACTTTTGAAATGCGGAAATGTCTCCTTGTTCACGTGAAAATAGTTGTAATATTTTTAGAGTCCATTTACAACTTTTAAAATAAGGTATAATATGTTCCTTCTAAGTATTTTATTTTTAAGATTGGATGAATTCAAAATTTGACTTCTCGTTGATTATATTTTCATCTTAAATGTAATAGACATAAGAAAAAATACGACGACTTGACGAGAGCATTTTACGTGCTGTAGAACTGAGGTCTATGTTAGTTCTGCCCAAAAATCGAGCGTTGAACGGCAACGGCACTGGCGTAGTGGAAAAACGAAGCCACGGCGCTGTCGCCGTGCCGGCTGCCGGCAAATGGAAAACCGCCCAGTATATGAAAGGGCGCCAAGCTACTTTACCATCATCAAGACATGACATTTATTTTAGACAAACAGTGCTGTGATGACAAATAATGTTGTAAATATCTATCATCGAACAATTTTATCGAATGAATGTTTATCGATAATTTTATATAACAAAAGTTAGATCTCTATACCTTTTTTTTTTTAAAAAAAACG